TTCAGCAAGAGGGGGAGTGGTTTTTGCCAAAAAAGGAAAAACTTGAAGACTAATAGCCACTAATACAAACCAAAATTTTATTCAGAAGAACCAAAGAGCAGACAGTTCAATTGTATTGTTTGACAAACATAAACTAAATGGAGGAAATCTTTCATAAAACATTTCTTTTTTTTTTTGGTTAAGGTGGGAAATAGTTATGACAAGACACCCATCAAAGAAAATATAATTGTTCCGTTGGTCACATGTTCAAAACATGTGAACCACAGTCTGAAATTAGTATACCTCAGATAAACATGCATACCATTAGATCATCACATGACTACCGCAAGTCATCAGGACTAACAAAAAAAAAATTACATTTGCAGTTTGTGAGATATAATGTTAGGTGAAAACTCTATATTACAAAAGAATAACCGTTGCGAGACAGGTTCTTTACACTAGCAACTCATGAATCATTGTATCAATAAAAACATATCGGAGAACATTTCTGTTGCATCAAGCCTGTGCCTGAAGGTAGTATTCACTCAACGATGCACTTAAATGCACCAGATACAAAGAAAAATAAAGGATTGTGCCTGGAGGCATTTACTCAATGATGCACTTAAATGCACCAGATACAAAGACAAATGAACGATTGTGGAACAATTGTGGGAAATAATTGTCCAGCTGATGAACTAAAGCAGGGGCACAAGTAAACAGGCAAACACTAACAAACAGAGAAAAATAATTTGAATCCTTCTTATTATGAAATTCAAGACAAATGAGTAAACTAACGAAGAAAATTACAAAAGGAAAAGAGCATATGCTCATGAGAAGAAACACCCTAGAGATTATTCAACACCAAACAGGCAAGGAACACTAACTGGAGAAAAAGAACTTGAACCCCTTATAAGGGATGCAAGAAAAATATGAAAGTTATGATGATAATTAACAGAGGAAAAAAGAGAATACACATGATAAGATGCATCTTACAGGATTTGGCAGGTAGGTTCCAGTCCCACTACGATATCTAGGCATGTCGTCGACATATCGTTGAAAAATATTGGGTGGTCTATTAGAAACTGACTGGAGAGGAGCAAATGGCACAAGTCGAGGCCCATAGCCCATAAGCTGAGAGAAGAGGTTCATGTTCGCTGAAATAGGTCTTCCAGGACCGTCCCATGGAACACGACCCTGTAAATAAACTGGTGGAACTACAACCGGTGAAGGATAAATCAAGGGTGCAGGATATCTTGAGTTTTGGCAAAAACGACCATATTGCAAATTCTGCCAATGGCTAGCAAAATCACTGTTAAGGATGTCAGGTTTGTGCTCTGGTGGCTCAACAGCAACAGCTCTTCTTGCCAAATTAGCAGCAAACACCTCGGACTGATCAATTCCTTCCGATAATTCAAAATTTTGACCAGAATCATTATTCTCCAACCTGTCATCACCAGAAAAATGACTGGTTGATGCATCTGAGTTTCCTGCGTCAGCTTGGAAGTTGTACACTGGAAGCACAAAATACGGAATGGGCGGCCCAGTTGCATAAAATGTTAGAGGAACAACGCCTGAATTATCCACAGCTCTTTGCTGTGAACCAGGATCTAAGAACACTGGAGCAATGGGTATCAGTGAATCTGATCCACTTGTCTGAGCCGGTTCAAGTCCAGGTAGTTGATGCCTTTGAAAATGCAAAGATGCAACAGGTTGAGGTCCTGTTCCCCTTTCTGCCATTTCGTTACCTGATGATGGATTCAAATCTCTGTTGTCTTCATCTGTCTGAGAGGGCAAATGTTCGGACATGCTTTTACCTTTACCCTGCACAGCAGGGGCTACTCCAGAAGAAGCAGTTTTCCTACCACGTTTTTCCCTATTTGACTTTGAGACCTTTGCCGTGGATCCTTCCCAAGAGCTTTCTGACGAAGTTTTACTTCTTAGAGAATTAGAATGCAAAGCAGTAGTGGACCTTGAACTCCCCATTCTCTCATCTAAAAATACCTCGTTAGCTCTGTTGTCTTGGTATTGAAAAGTATCTCCATGGTCTTCTCTAGTTGATTGCACTTCTTTGAACTTCTGTTGCACTCTCATAGAACTGCCAGTAACACCAACCTGAGATGAAGGAACAAAGTTATAACCCGCTGAAGTTGATTGCTGCTTTTCATCATTCTGAATCATGTCAAAACTGCCGTTTTCAAGATCAAAACTACCAGGGGAGACCCTTTCTTGTTCATGCCAAAAATCTTGTTCAACCTCCTCTGTGTTCATTTCAGCAGAGCCAAAATTGTCATTACTATGTTCAATTTGATCTTCTGGATTAGAGCCCAAAGTGACACCAGGGAAATAATGACTTAATGGTGGTGGAACCAAACCTGGGGGAAAGGGCATATTTGGCCCCCAGGGAGTCTCAATTAAGGGGATGCTTGTGGGAACCATTCCCCCCAATTTTCTCTGAGAATATCCCATTGATGCCAGAATTGAAGGTGAGAGTGGAAGAGGTAAATGACTCGAAGGAAAGTTTAGTGGAACATGAACCTGCCCATTAAAACCAAGAGTTGCCGAAGCTGGCATCATGTTGACAAGATCCTGCTCCTCCTGAAGCATGCCCTGTGCTCCCACAACAGAAAAATCTTCACCTATAGGACTCAAGCCCAAATC